AAAACAATTATTATGCATTCTGAAAAACATCACCTGCACAACCTAGTGTCTGTAAGATGCTTTGGGAAGTTTCGTTCTCACAAAGCCTGTCTGGCTGAGATATTGCATTCTCAAAACAACTGATGGTTGAACATAGAAGAACACCGGTCACATGCCTACCCTGTTTTTTCTTCTCTGCCATTGGCTAGATAGTACAGAACACTTGTTAACATGACATTCTGCCCCCTTCAGACCCAGGCAGACAGAATCCATCATGTAAGAACGCAGGTCTTCATATATCGTATGTAGAAATGGTAATGTAAAACAAAAAACGCATGATGGAAGCAGACAGGAACCGTATTGGTTTTTAGTAGTCTTTTATATGAAAAAGGAAACAATTTTATTTGTCATATAGATTCTTTAGATTCTATTATGCAGTAGGAAACAGATATTTTTTTACATATCAAATAATCAATTTTATTTAGAATGAGATTTTTGTTATTGTTTTATTTATGCACAATAAACAAAAATAAAAATTTCCAGTAATAAAACATAATATGTATCGTGAATGGTTTTATTATATTATTATTATTATTGTTACGAACTGGCGGGAATGAAGCAGAGAGTGAATCCAAATGCAAGCACTTTAATAATCCAACAAACAGGTAATCCAGGGTAAACTCAGAACTAGGAACAAGGTACTCAGACTACACGCAACAATAAACAACAACCGACAGCCAACAACTGAAACACAGGGGTTTAAATACACAGACAAACAAGCTAAACAAGATAACAAGGGGGCGTGGTTAATCAGAAACACATGGGGAGACTAATCAACAAAACGGGGAACAGCTGAACATGAAACAAGACACATGGCAGGATAACATGACAAACAGGGAATCACATGACAGACAAGAACAAGGAACAAAACACAAACCCCCCCCCCCCCCCCCCCCCCTAAAGAGCGGCTTCCAGGCGGAGAAGAACCTTCGGGCGGCCACGGCGGTGAAGACCTCTCAGGCGGCCACGGCGGTGAAGACCTCTTAGGCGGCCACGGCGGTGAAGACCTCTCAGGCGGCCACGGCAGAGGCTCAGGAACCAACACCGGCATAGGAAAAGCCACCGGCCCAGGAACAACCATCGGCTCAGGAACAGACACTGGATCCGGCTCAGGAACAGACACTGGATCCAGCTCAGGAACAGACACTGGATCCGGCTCAGGAACAGACACAGGACAGAACCAGCATCTTGTGAAACTCTGTACTGGACGGGACCAGCGACGAAGAGGGCCTTGAGCTGGGCAGGACCAGCGGCGAAGAGGACTGAGCGCTGGGCAGGACCAGTGGTGAAGAGGGCCTTGAGCTGGGCAGGACCAGCGGTGAAGAGGGCCTTGGCTCTGGTTCTGCGGATATAACGCTCACAGACTCCTGCTTGGCGGGCATAACGTTCTCAGACTCAGCGGGCATGACACTTTCAGTCTCAGGCACGGCTGGACTGGCGTGAGGTGCAGGCTCTGGAACGGCAGACGTGACGTGAACCGTCTCTGGATCGGCAGACGTGACTTGAACAGTCTCTGGATCGGCAGGCGTGACGAGAACAGTCTCTGGGTCGGCAGACGTGACGTGAAGCGTCTCTGGGTCGGCAGACGTGACGTGAAGCGTCTCTGGCTCGGCAGACGTGATGTGAAGCGTCTCTGGCTCCGCAGGCGTCTCTGGCTCGGCAGAAGTGACGTGAACAGTCTCTGGCTGTGCAGACGTGACGTGGACAGTCTCTGGCTGTGCAGACGTGACGTGGACAGTCTCTGGCTGTGCACGTGACGTGGACAGTCTCTGGCTGTGCAGACGTGACGTGGACAGTCTCTGGCTGTGCAGACGTGACGTGGACAGTCTCTGGCTGGACGTGGCTGACGTGAAGCTCTGGCTGGACGTGGCTGACGTGAAGCTCTGGCTGGACGTGGCTGACGTGAAGCTCTGGCTGGACGTAGCTGACGTGAAGCTCTGGCTGGACGTGGCTGACGTGAAGCTCTGGCTGGACGTGGCTGACGTGAAGCTCTGGCTGGACGTGACTGACGTGAAGCTCTGGCTGGACGGTCTCTGGCTGGACGGTCTCTGGCTGGATGCGGAGATCAGGTGATGACCTGGCATACCACGGGAGGAAACTCTCCAGGCATCTGGAGAGTGCCTCTCTCCAGTCCAGTCCTGAGAGATCGGGGAGCTCCCTCGGGTCGACCTCCTTAGCCCCTAGCCGGTAACACAGCTTGATCCCCTCATCTCCGAGAGAGCAGGAGGCAGCGAGGGGGGCAAACCCCCAGGTATACTGGAACAGATCAGGGCTCCTTAGGGCTAAGGCTGCGGTCTCTCCAGCGAACTCCCGGCTCATGCTGGGAAGATCTGGCGAGATCCGTGCTGCTGGATTCATTGGCGGTCGGTTGTTCTGTTACGAACTGGCAGGAATGAAGCAGAGAGTGAATCCAAATGCAAGCACTTTAATAATCCAACAAACAGGTAATCCAGGGTAAACTCAGAACTAGGAACAAGGTACTCAGACTACACGCAACAATAAACAACAACCGACAGCCAACAACTGAAACACAGGGGTTTAAATACACAGTATTTAAATACAATGGTTAATCAGAAACACATGGGGAGACTAATCAACAAAACGGGGAACAGCTGATCATGAAACAACACACATGGCAGGATAACATGACAAACAGGGAATCACATGACAGACAAGAACAAGGAACAAAACACAAAACCCACACCGTGACAATTATTTCCTATTATATTGTGCCATTTTTCAGTAGAATATTAAAGATCAGATAACAAAATATCGGTCAATATATCTGCTTTAATACTTTAATAAATGCTTCAAAAGAGATTTTATACTACATGTTTAATAATTTTCAGTGTGAAGGACTGCAGGTTCAATATATATATATATATATACACTCACCTAAAGGATTATTAGGAACACCTGTTCAATTTCTCATTAATGCAATTATCTAATCAACCAATCACATGGCAGTTGCTTCAATGCATTTAGGGGTGTGGTCCTGGTCAAGACAATCTCCTGAACTCCAAACTGAATGTCAGAATGGGAAAGAAAGGTGATTTAAGCAATTTTGAGCGTGGCATGGTTGTTGGTGCCAGACGGGCTGGTCTGAGTATTTCACAATCTTCTCAGTTACTGGGATTTTCACGCACAACCATTTCTAGGGTTTACAAAGAATGGTGTGAAAAGGGAAAAACATCCAGTATGCGGCAGTCCTGTGGGCGAAAATGCCTTGTTGATGCTAGAGGTCAGAGGAGAATGGGCCGACTGATTCAAGCTGATAGAAGAGCAACTTTGACTGAAATAACCACTCGTTACAACCGAGGTATGCAGCAAAGCATTTGTGAAGCCACAACACGCACAACCTTGAGGCGAATGGGCTACAACAGCAGAAGACCCCACCGGGTACCACTCATCTCCACTACAAATAGGAAAAAGAGGCTACAATTTGCAAGAGCTCACCAAAATTGGACAGTTAAAGACTGGAAAAATGTTGCCTGGTCTGATGAGTCTTGATTTCTGTTGAGACATTCAGATGTTAGAGTCAGAATTTGGCGTAAACAGAATGAGAACATGGATCCATCATGCCTTGTTACCACTGTGCAGGCTGGTGGTGGTGGTGTAATGGTGTGGGGGATGTTTTCTTGGCACACTTTAGGCCCCTTAGTGCCAATTGTGCATCGTTTAAATGCCACGGCCTACCTGAGCATTGTTTCTGGCCATATCCATCCCTTTATGGCCACCATGTACCCATCCTCTGATGGCTACTTCCAGCAGTATAATGCACCATGTCACAAAGCTCGAATCCTTTCAAATTGGTTTCTTGAACATGACAATGAGTTCACTGTACTAAAATGGCCCCCACAGTCACCAGATCTCAACCCAATAGAGCATCTTTGGGATGTGGTGGAACGGGAGCTTCGTGCCCTGGATGTGCATCCCACAAATCTCCATCAACTGCAAGATGCTATCCTATCAATATGGGCCAACATTTCTAAAGAATGCTTTCAGCACCTTGTTGAATCAATGCCATGTAGAATTAAGGCGGTTCTGAAGGCGAAAGGGGGTCAAACACAGTATTAGTATGGTGTTCCTAATAATCCTTTAGGTGAGTGTATATATATACACTACCGTTCAAAAGTTTGGGGTCGGTACGATTTTAAATACTTTTAAAAGAATTCTCTTCTGCTAACCATGGCTGCGCTTATTTGATTAAAAATACAACAAAAATCAGTTATAGTATTAAATATTATTCCAGTGTAAATCAGCTGTTTTCTGTGTGAATATATAGTAAAGTGTAATTTATTCCTGTGATCAAAGCTGAATTTTCAGCATCACCAGTGTCAGTGTCTTCAGTGTCAAATGATCCTTCACAAATCAGTATAATATGAGGATTTGATGCTCAAGAAACATTTATTATTATAATCAATGTTGAAACAGTTGTTGGTCTGTCAGTTGTACAGTTTTTATTTTTTTATTTTTTTATTCTTTGATGAATAGGAAGTTCAAAAGACTTTTGTAACATTATAAATGTCTTTACTGTCACTTTCGATCAAATTAATTATTCCTTGATAAATAAAAGTATTGATTTCTTTCCTCCAAAAAATAAAAATAAAATTCTCACTGACCCCAAACTTTTGAACGGTAGTGTATATACATTATATATCAATAAATAATGATATCTAATCAAGTTGCTAGGAGAGGTTGCTAGGGGTGTTGTGTAGTGATACATAGAACCGTTGGGTGAAGCGGTCATAGCCGTGTTTTATCATGAATAAAACACAGCTATTGACCAATCAGAATCAAGGACTGGAACTAACCGTTTTATAAACAATTATATATATATATATATATATATATATATATATATATATTTGGTCATTATTTGAATATACTAACATTGTATCCAACATTGTATTTTCTATTCCCTTTATGTAATAATGCTCTCTCTGTCTGTGTGTTTTTAGCTGCACAGAGCGAGCAGAGGGAGTGCGCGTATGCAGAACAGCCACAGGCTCTGGGCGAGCGGATTGAGAACGCCACCATCCGCTGTAATCACGGAGGTCACTGCTTTGGACTCTGGCGGAAAAAAAATAATGAAATCCAACTAGTGAAGCAAGGTATATAAATACATTCTAGACACACACACACACACACACACAGACAAAGAACTTTACAGTCAGTCTCACCTTTATTTCCTCCATTTAATACAGGTTGCTGGACAAATGTCGGTGACCATCAGGAGTGCCATGACCGCTGTGTGGTGACCAACCCTCCGTCAATTGTCCAAAATGGAACGTCTCGATTCTGCTGCTGCAGCAAAGACATGTGCAACCTAAACTTCACAGAGGACTTCCCACCTCCTTCCCCGACCACCCCACAGCCTCTACGTGAGTGTGTGTGTGGCTCATAGACATATAGATAGTGTTCAGAATATGGAAACAAATGAGTATCAGCGAGAGATGTACAGTAGATACAAATTAAAGACATGGGTTAAAGAACATTTGATTAATTAAAAAAGTATTTGTTAATGTCTAGTTCACTTTCTGACTGTCTATTGAATAATATATTCTCTTTGAATCCTTCAAGACTCGCACCGACTCTACAGAGAGGAAGCCATCGTTGCCGCTTTAGCAACTGTGTCCATGGTTGCCGTCCTCGTCATTTTTCTTTTTTTTGGCTACCGGATGCTAAGAGGTGGGTTTCCGTAGTGATGTTATGATGCATTAAATGTATGATTCAATTCTGACGATGAACTTACCTATGTGCGTGTGGATTTATATGCCTGTGTGTATTCCAGGATGTGGTAAACACTCTTTGCATACCTTGGATATTCTGGAGGCAGCACTTTCCCCTCCTTCTCTGGATTTGGACAACCTTGTTCTGCTGGAGGTAGAAGACACCAATCACAGCTTGATTCTTTTTGCCGTCCCCCTGTTTAAGCAAACAAAATAGTGTATAAACCTCTAGGGACAATGTCATTTTTTTAAATGAATAATGTATATTTTTATACATTTCTTTATAAAAAAAAAATGGTGAAATAGTTTGAAGAGAAATCATGTAAATATAATGGGCCATTTTGATTTGACTTCAGGGATCAGTACTAGTTGTAGGCATTGGTGTTTTTGTACTGTAGTACTATAATATTTTGTACTGTAGTACTACAAAATAATATTTGCAAAATAAAATCTAAATGACCTTTTATCCAGGAGACCGATAGTCCTGTTGTATTCTACAAATTAATAGAAAAAAAATGTGGCAACAGTAAATAACAATACAAGTACGAAATTTAGACAAAACTTCAAAAGTTACATTTATAATGTCACAAAAGATTTCCATTTCAAATAAATGCTGTTCTAGCTCTGCTCAGAGGAAGATAGGAATCATGTCTTTGTGGCAGTTTTTTGTTGTTGTTGGTGATTAAGGGATGGTACAAGACTTCTTCACCTTACGAATGGCTGTCGAAAGCAAAAATATATAAATATATATAAATAATTATCTTTTTACTCTTACTTTTCTCACTTATTTTCGATCTTTCTGCTCTTCACAGCTGATTGGCCGGGGCCGGTACGGAACCGTGTATCGCGGTTCACTGGACGACCGATCTGTGGCTGTGAAAGTTTTCATCTCCTCTAACCGCCAGCAGTTTACCAACGAGCGTTTGATTTACCGCAATCTCCTGGATCACGAGAACGTAGCACACTTCTTAGAGAGCGAGGAACGTGTCGGCACAGAAGGCAGGACAGAGTTTCTCCTCTTGCTGGAGTTTTACCCTCATGTGAGTATCGCAGGAACACTGAGGAACCCAAACCAAGTACCAAAAGCAAAAACTCCAGTCTAATTCCAGATTTCTTATTCTTTTCCTGTCAAACGTTTAGCCTGTTCTTTTTTTTTCTCTCACATTCCTTCTTCTCTACATCACAGCTCCAAAAGTGCAAGCATACGCATTTATGTTGTGGTTATATTTAGAGACCTGAGGGATCTGATGTCATGTTTGATCTTGTGGTAACAGCATCCCACGAGTGTGATATGATATCTTTGGTATGATATCACTAAAACTTTCTCACTCTCTTCCTCGTGTTTTTCTCTGCGTCCCTTTTTCTCTCGCTCTCTTTTTTGCAATTATGTAAAAAAAAAAGTTACAATTCAGCAGAATATCCTCATTTTACCTCTCTCGTTGCCTATTCACACCCACAAAACACTTACTCGATATTATGGAGGAAGAGAGAGATTATTGACTGAGCTGCGAAGTATTCAATTATTCATAACCGTGGGCTTTCAGCCTCAAGCCTCAAGCCAGGTTGCCATAGTGACAGGAGGCATCCCTGAGGTAGTCCCGAGGTACGGCAGGAGTGCATTAATTGTGCTACTCCTGTAACTTTGAGATACACCGGCTCTGTTCATCCTTGCTCTGCGCTTTAATCTCATCCTCCCTCGCTTCTCCGTCCTCTTCCCCACCCCCCCATGGTTTCCCTGTGTGTTCCTCCCTGTACATTGCAGATGATTTCCTCTGAATAGAGTACTCCCTCTGTCTTTCCCAGGGCTCACTGTGCATGTATCTGAGCGGGCGGACTGTGGACTGGCTGGGCTGCTGTCGTTTGGCTCTGTCGGTGACCAGAGGGTTGGCGTACCTGCACACAGAGATACAGAAAGGGGGTGAGACACAGAATAACAAATGAAACATTTTGGCATCATTCACTCATTCTCAAGTCGTTTTTCCAACCCGTATGATACACCACTGTTCAAAAGTTTGGTGTCAGTAAGATTTCTTTTAAAGGGTTAGTTCACCCAAAAATGAAAATTATGTCATTAATGACTCACCCTCATGTCGTTCCAAGCCCGTAAGACCTCCGTTCATCTTCAGAACACAGTTTAAGATATTTTAGATTTAGTCCGAGAGTTTTCTGTCCCTCCATTGAAAATGTATGTACGGTATACTGTCCTTGTCCAGAAAGGAAATAAAGACATCATCAAAGTAGTCCATGTGACACCAGTGGGTTAGTTAGAATTTTTTGAAGCATCGAAAATACATTTTGGTCCAAAAATAACAAAAACTACGACTTTATTCAGCATTGTATTGTCTTCCGGTTCTGTTGTCAATGACGTAAGACGCTGCTGACGTGTTATCCGGTGCGCCCGAGCTTCGTTTACAGTCTGAGGGATACGCACACTGTAAACAAAACAATCTTCGCAAACATATCTAAGGATTTCTACACAGAGGAAGACTTGCATTTTTTTGCCCAGCCATATTTATTTGAACCCGAATACACGGACGCACCAGATACACTTCAGCAGCGTCCTACGTCAGCAGCGTCACTGAAGCGGATTGACAACAGAACCTGGAAGACAATACAATGCTGAGTAAAGTCTTAGTTTTTGTTATTTTTGGACCAAAATGTATTTTCGATGCTTCAAAAATTCTAACTAACCCACTGGTGTCACATGGACTACTTTGATGATGTCTTTATTTCCTTTCTGGACAAGGACAGTATACCGTACATACATTTTCAATGGAGGGACAGAAAACTCTCGGACTAAATCTAAAATATCTTAAACTGTGTTCCGAAGATGAACGGAGGTCTTACGGGCTTGGAACGACATGAGGGTGAGTCATTAATGACATAATTTTCATTTTTGGGTGAACTAACCCTTTAAAGGAAGAGATTAATACTTCAGCAAGGCACATTAAATTGATCAAAAGTGACAGCATAGACATTTATAATGTTACAAAATATTTCTGTTTCAAATAAATGCTGTCCTTTTTTCTATTCATAAAAAAAATCCTGAAAAAAATCATCATGGTTTCCACAAAAACATTAAGCAGCTTTTTTCAACATTGATAATAATACGAAATGTTTTTGTGAAGCACCAAATCAGTATTAGAATGATTCCCGAAGGATCAAGTGACACTGAAGACAGGAGTAATGATGCTGAATTGCAGCATTGCATCACAGGAATAAATTACATTTTAAAATATATTTGACAATTGACGAAGGCAGACAGCTGAACTTAATAAAAAATTTTTTAGAGGGCAGACCTTTTTTGCGTCCTTTAGCTACTGATACGTACTGTATATAGGTCTTAGTACCTAATGAATTGGGGGAGCGAGAGAAGTGCTTTGATTTTAAAATATCTTAAAATAGAAAAGTTATTTTAAAATTGTAATAATATCTCACAATATTATCATTTTACTGTATCAAATAAATGCAGCCTGTGTGAGCATAAGAGATCTTTTTCAAAAACATTAAAAAAAAATCATACTGGCCCTACAGTTTTGAGCAGTAGTGTTTGTGAACGGGGGACTAAATGGCAAAAAGGTATTAGCTACTTAAAATACTCTTTCGATTTTAATTTTGAGTGTTAAATGGAGTCGCAGTATGGATGTGATAGTGGGTGTGTGCACTTTATTTATAGACGCGGTATGAGAAAGCAGGAAGGCAGGGATGGGGCGTAATTCTCAATGCTTTTTTTAGTTTTCTTTGTCTTTGTTTCAGTGTGAAAGCAAAGGCTCTAAAAGTGTTTAGATTTTATTTAGTGCCAAAAAAAATGGCATGTTAATGAAAGGCGACAGAAAGGGAGACCAAAGAAAGAGAGAAAGTGATGCTATGTCTTCATCTTCATCCCAGTGGACTCAGTCATTGTAATATAAACTGACACATCCTTTTCAACTCACAAAAACGAACCACCCTTCCTCATTTCCTTTCATATAGAGCATTATTATATAACAAAGTAGCTCAGCTCTAAAATCTGTTTGGATGGGCCAACCAATAAGTGTGCAAACCAATTTTCATTTCACATTATAGTGACCACTACCAGTGACAGTGTAAAGGTTAATGAAATATATTAATTGGCAGACAAACTGATTATGGTTATTATTATTATCAATAAATGTAACTATTTACTGATAAAAATGCATTTAAAATTAGTTAAGTTTTAATACAAATAAAAATGTCATTATTTAATTATTTATATATTATTATTATTATATTATATTACTGAATTAATATAATTCAGTGCCTTTTATCATATTGCTTTTATAAAAGTGAGCAAACGAACATAAGCCACTCAAGGCTGTGCATTACATTAAGGTCAGGTGTTTTAAGCACTAACTAGACAACTTGCAATAGTAAAATCCCTGTTACATACCGTTATTTCTGGAGACACAAGTGGGTTCCAGTGCTCTCTAGTGGCAATTCTGATATTGTGATTCACTCTCATGCAATTTTCTCTCCTTCTCTCCTCTCTCATCCCACTCCATCCCCTTCCATCACTCTCTCCCCTCCCATTCTTTTTCCCATTGTTAGACTTGTATAAACCGGCCGTGTCTCACCGGGATCTGAACAGTAGGAATGTACTGGTGAAGACAGATGGCTCATGTGTTATTAGTGATTTTGGACTTTCCATGATTCTGACGGGAAAGAGACCACCTGGGCATGGAGAAGAGGACAACAGTGCCATCAGTGAGGTTAGCAAACAGCAATTCAAACTGGTCCAGTCTAATCCAACCCAGCATATTCTAAACCCGACCAGTGATTTGGACAATAATACCTCAGACTAATCATATGTTACACCCCTTTCTGACTGAATAGGTTGGTACAGTGCGGTACATGGCCCCAGAAGTGCTAGAAGGGGCAGTGAATCTGAGAGATTGTGAGTCGGCACTGAAACAAGTGGATGTTTATGCGCTGGGTCTGCTTTACTGGGAGACCTTTATGTGTTGTGCCGACCTCTTCCCAGGTACCACTCGCATGTACACGTGTGCAGATCTCTCCATGTCACAGCTGCTGTTTGTACTCAATAAAAATCTTCTCTACCACCAGGTGAGACAGTGCCAGCATTTCAGATGGCTTTTCAGGCAGAGGTGGGCAATCACCCTACCATAGAGGACATGCAGGCACTCGTGTCGAGAGAAAAAGAAAGACCCAAATTCCCAGAGGCCTGGAAAGAGAATAGTCTGGTGAGAAATTAGGATGTGAACACACATGCACAGCTTGTTAAGAAATAGGGAACTAAAATAGATTTGTTGATGCTGATGTATGTGTGTGTGTGTTTATGTGCAGACAGTGCACTCTCTAAAAGAGACAATGGAAGACTGCTGGGATCAGGATGCTGAAGCTCGACTTACAGCTCAGTGTGCAGAGGAGAGACTCACTGAACTTCTCCTCATCTGGGATCGAGAAAAATCAGTTAGTCCTCCTCTCAACCCCAGCACTGCCCTGTATAACCACAGGTAATCAATAACCAATAATTACAGTAAAACCACAGATAATGACTGAGTAACGTCTAGGTTACATATGTAACCCCCGTTCCCTGAAGGAGGGAACGGAGACGTTACGCCAGAACTGACGAATTTGGATCTCGCCAGCCCAATCATATTCGATTTGAAACTAAACGAGCCAATGGACATTGGCGTGCAAGATTTGCATCGCTCGCACCGCCCTGCAGCATTCGATGAACAGGTTCCACTTCAAAGCGTAGACGTGCCTTGTAGAGTGCGCCCTCGCTGAAGTGATGGTGTCTACCACCCTCTGGGGTAGATCACCTAAAACCTCCGCGTCCCGTCACGACCACACGTGGAGGTTCCAGGGGGCTGGACACGGGTGCCAGAGGGTGCCCCGTCTCTGAGAAAGCAGATCCTTCCTCAGAGGGATGCGGCAGGGAAGGGCTGTCGCGAAAAGCATGAGTTCTGGGAACCAGTTCCAGTTGGGCCAGTAGGGTGCAACTCGTCCTCCGTGACTTTTCACCTGTGTTAACTCTTTTAGGAAGTGCTCTTTAAGTGCTGAAGTGCAGGGATTTAGTGCAGCCTACAGTGTGCAGCAACAATGCTCTTTTGCTGTATGAACAGCAGTATCTCATTGAAGATCGCAATCACCGCTGTAGCGCCGTCACACCAACACCGGAGCTTCACCTGTGCAACAGTCCAACAGAGATTGCAGCTTCTTTGCAGGAACACACTGGCTCGGCTCCGAAGTGAAATGCTAAAGTGCGATCGCACAATGTCCATTGGCTCGTTTAGTTTACACTCAAAGATGATTGGGCTCCCAAATCATCAGTTACTGTTCTGACGTAACGTTGAATGTGACTGACTGAAAGGGAACCTATAATCACTAGCTCCGTTTACATGGACACTTATAATCGGATTGACGGCTCAATCGGACTAAAAAACCTTCATGTAAACACCTTAATCGATCCGATTGAGCTCGATCCGATTGAAATTTCGATCGGATTGAAAGGGGTGGTTTACTCCTTTTGTAATCCGATCGAGAGAACATGTAAACACTTGATCGGATTGAAAACCGAAACTAAAAGGACTGCGCATGTGCAATGACGTTGAAATAGCGTAATGACGTATGACGCACGGAACGAGCTGTTCTTCCTGTTGAATAAAGTGAATATAAATGAGTGTTCCGTTATCTAAAAAATTCGCATTTCACTCGCACTGTGAAGTGAAGCAGGACAACGTCCCACTAGTGCTTCTTTCAGATTATCATCCATGGACGACTGGTTTTGGGCACGGGTTTTACTGCGTGACATATAAGCAGCACGGCAAAACGGTTCAAGCTCATCGTCTATAAAATCATGACCATAGACGGATAAATATTAAGTCTACTGTTTAAAAAAAATAAAGAACCAATGGAGGAGAATAGTTATGCGCGAACAGCGGCATATTCGTGCAGTGCGCGCATGTCAAAAAATCAATTCCGATTTGAATCTTGTGACATATAAACGAGCACATCAACCCGATTACTTTATTTATCGTTCATGTAAACACCGTGTTCAGATTCATCAATCGGATTGATTTCATTCCGATTGAACCATGTAAACGCAGCTACTGTCACTCACTGTACAACCGTAGGTAATCAAAAAAAAAATGGAATCACTGACCATTCACTGTACAACCACAGATAATCAATAACCGGTAATCACTGACGACTCATTGTAGTACCACAGGTAATCAATAACCAATAATCAGTGTACAACCACAGGCAATCAATAACCAATAATAACTGACCACTCACTGTATAATCAGAAGTAATCAATAACCAGTAATCACTGGCATTCACTGGATAACCACAGGCAATCAATAACCAATAATCAGTGTACAACCACAGGCAATCAATAACCAATAATAAGTGACAATTCACTGCATAATCAGAAGTAATCAATAACCAGTAATCACTGACATTCACTGTACAACCACATATAATCAATAACCAATAATCATTGATTACTCACTGTATTGCTCAGTTCATCAATAACCAATAATCACTGGCCACAAACTGTATAGCCTCAGGTAATCAATAACCAATAATCACTGAATGACTCGCTGTATAACCGGAAATAACTGAAACCCAATAATCACTTACTGCAGGTAGTCAATAATCACTGATTGAACAACCTTGTTATTGCACTGTACAACCACAAGAAATCAATAACCAGTAATCACTGCATAACTAAAGAAACTCAGTATATAATCATTTCTTAATTTCAGTAGTTTAATTCAACCAAAGGTAATTAAAAATCAGTAACAAATAATACAGTTATGTCTAACACTGCACAACCTCAGTTAATCAAATCTGTAAAACTCTAAATAATTCATAATCAATTAACACAAACTGTCATAAATCATGGTCATTTTTTAGCATTTGAACTGTGCATAAGTCTATGTTACACAACATCTTTATCTCATGTGATTCAACCAACACTACTTACATTTTCCAGGAATATCTCTACTGGAAGGCAGACACCTAAGGTGGGTTCTTTCCTTGAACACTCATCCACAAACACTGAAAACCATGAGGGTGCTGATAAACCCCTCCACAATGACACCTCAGTGGGAGGGTCTAACCCTGCAGAGAAGAACAGGAACTGCATCAACTATGAGTGGCAGCAGGCCCAATCACGTCAGTCTGGCACAGAAAGCTCCTCCCCCACTCCTGTTTTAGAGTCATGCAATGCCACTCAGCCTCCACCAGTGGGCAACAGTGGTCCCCTCTGTGCTCAGCTGACCCGGGAAGACCTGGAGACACTAAAACTGGACCCAAGTGAAGTCCAAAGGAACTTGAGGGAGAGCTCAGATGAGAGCCTAATGGAACATTCGCAGAAAGAGTTCTGCTCTCCGGAAACAATGACCTCGCACAGCCCGTTCTACCCCCACACGAAGATGGTATCTGAGGTTTCGGGGTCACAGGGTTCCAGTCGGGCTGCTGACACCCCTATAACCATCTTACCTAAGCAGCAGAACGTCCCTAAGAGACCGAGTAGCCTAAGTCTCCATGCCAAGCCTTCTGGGAAAACACCCACCTCGTCATCTTCATCACTACGGATGAAGTTTGGAAAACTTGGAAAGTCGAATCTGAAAAAAGTTGAGATGGGTGTGGCTAAAGCCAGTGTGGTGAGCACAGCACATGAAGTCAGGTCAATTACCGTTGCCAACAACGATGCTGTGACAGCAGTGAATAAATATCCGACCGGAGCAGCACCTGAGCCAGCAGGATGCCCAGCCAACGCCGCCGATGTCCATTGGAAGGGCGCCATGAGTTCAGAGGACTTGACCTTCGGCCTCTTGAACACTAGCCCTGATGAGCAGGAGCCTCTTCTGAGAAGAGATGCGCACCCTGACAATGCAAACAACAATAACAGTAATAACAACAACGGCGAAGGAGAGGGTGATGGAGACACTGAGGATGGAGAAGGAGGAGAGAACAGTGAGAGTGTTGGTCCAACAGGGGACGCTCCATTGGCTTCTACCGTGGAGCCTGTTGCTTTGCCTGGCCCTTGTCCTGCCCCAACTGTGGTTCCTCCACAGGCCCAAACCCAAGCTCAGACACACGGAGAGGCCCTGCTCAGACAGAACCGTGTGCGCAGACCCGAGAGACCCAACTCACTGGATCTGTCCATCACCACACTGCCATTACTGGGTGAGTATTAGTGCTGCAAACTCAACAACTTTTAATGAAACTTGCCTTTTTGTTTTTTTGCAGTATCAATGAGTTTTTTCAAAGGGTATGGGGGTTCAAAATTTAATTTTAATTAAATACAATTTAATTTTTAGACTTGCTGATGTTGATGGTTTAAATTCATTTATCACTGTTTACAAGACACAGAATACATGCAACACAGAATCCATTGGAGGATTCTCTCTACAGAGCCAATGGGTGAAGCTTGACGTCCAGCTATCCCTCTCTGAACATAATGGGTGGAGCTCGAAGGTCCAGCCACACCCTAACCTGATCCCTAAACCTAAAATTAGGTGAATCTCCACACATAACGTCCAGAGAGGGGGAGCTGGACGTAATTTGGCTCTGCACTGACCATCACTTGGAATCCATGGAACTGTGGAATAGCTGCAAGCATGTGTTCATACTCTTCATTTCATAATTTAGAAGTACATATAATTGGGCCTGTAAGACACACCTTGTTTCTACAAAGTCTTCCAAACCTTTCTTTTGTCTGTTGGAGAGCTCTTACCAAATCTGTTAATCGTCCTGTAACAGTGCATAAAGTAAAATAGTCAAGTCAAGTCACCTTTATTTATATAGAGCCTTTTACAATACAGATTGTTTCAAAGCAGCTTTACAGTGATAACAATACAACAAAGTTTGTTTCTAGAAGAAAATAGCGTCACAGTCCAGCTTAAGTAAGTTCAGTGATGGTTCATTTTTGTTGTAAAAAAGTTATTAATTTAGTTCATTTATATATATAGCCGCTCTGCTGAAAACCGTGATGTCATCGTCCAGCTCGGTTCAGTTCTCATATAGTGGTGTCAATGCAGGTAGATCAATAATATTGTTTAATATTAAATGAAATGTCCCCAACTAAGCAAGCCAAAAGCCAAAAAATACAGTTAAATGACAATAATTTAATGATTGCAAATTACTATATGCTAATAAAATCTTAAATTACATGTAATAATAATATTTATAATAATTGTTCATTTATATGAGGTTGGGTGGGCTGGCTGGCTGGCTTCCTGTTGATTGGGCTATTATACATCACATGCGCAGTGGCGTGATGTTTACATACATTTATTTTTATTATAAATGTGCAAATGTTTAGTTCACTAGCCAAAGCTAATAAGTTGCTGTTACTAAAAATGACACGTTTAAAATGACACGTTATCATGCACATCTACACAATTGACCCCTAAACAATGTTTTAATTTCTTGGTTCGCCCACAGGAGGCAAGTCTGCCGGTGACGTGACAGAGGGATCAGGAGATAAAATCAAGAAGCGGGTGAAGACACCTTACGCTCTGAAGAAGTGGCGTCCTGCCAGCTGGGTTATCACCACGGATACAATGGATGCTGAAGTCAACAACAACAAATGTCATGGAGGGCCCGGGCAGAACCAGAATCAGGCTGGTACCAGCAGACCTAAATCAGCCTCGGCTGTGTATTTAGGTAGTCGAGGAGGATCTCGCTTCTCAGATCCCAGTGACTGTGACTTTTGAACTTTGACCTCAGTTTGATCTTGAAAACAGGCTAAAATCGTATAAACATTCAACTCTACAGCTCTAAACAGTCTGAAGGCTGTGGAGACAGATGTGGACTGGACCATATACATGTCTTAAATTTAAACCCAATTGTAAGCACAGTAAGAGTCTTAGTGGCTTTACATTGAAAAGAGCTATGCAGCCATCTTTTAGTTTAATGTTTGTATGTTTTTGCGTTAAGTCAATTTTTAGTTGCACTTTTTTGCTACAAGTTATAAATCATAATTATTTTGACCATTCAAAATGGTCCCTAATATTTAACCAGTGTAAATGTGTACTTAATCGTCACACTCCCAAGGTCAAGTAAAACCTGGAAATATCAGGGAATTTTCTAAATACTAGACCTGGAAGAAAAGGAAACAAAATCTTAAGAGTAATAGAAAATTATATAGTCAATATAAATTATGTTCATCTCTCTCTTTGTGAGTGTAACCTCTACAAAACTATTACAAATATTAAAAAAGAGTTATAAATCCAATAGCTAGAATCTGTGGGAACCCTTTTTTAAGATTATAGGGCTACTCATTAACATTCATTTTAAGAATTTTGCATGAATGGTGACAAAGCTTTAATTTTTGCCCATGCAGACCTGAAAAATGTTTACATTCTCTACTACTTTACCATGCCCGGTTTCCTGCAGCTTTGAGATTTATCAGACGATATGTTCCAGTGTGACTGTGGTCATGGCATCTGATACTTGTAAGCGCTGTTGTGCGTGCAAAAACTATTCCCTTCTGAGTCAACACACTATAAAAAAAGCAATTCAACACATTTCACTGTGGTGGCACTATGTATCTCTCAGCATCACACACTCAAGACTGCAACAAGACAATGTTTAGAAATGATGTGACTGTACAGAGAGACCATGGCAACATCTGATATGAACAGCCGCAGGCATCACACCTCTCGCTTTTTTGGATAAGCTTTACTCAGAGACGAAAGACAAAGCTGCACTGGGTCTGGTAAACTGACTGTTCTGGATCCCGTTAAAATGTCTAATGATGCTTTGGACCTACCGGTACTTGTCATTTACTTATTTTTCTATGTGTGAGTGAGTGTGCATGAGCGCACAAGATAAGTTCTCTGGGTGTTTGTTCCTGTGTCTTTGTGACTCGTCTTTGATCGTGTGAAAGGTTTTTGTGTTGCATGTTTGTATCTATTCTTGTGGGGATGTGCATCTTCATATGCACTTACCTGTTCTAGTCATTTGATAAACAAGGAGACAAGTTTAAAAAAAAACTAGTCTTTTTTTCAAAGCACAGCACACAAGAGCAGCATTTTATGCTATGCACAAAGACATGAAGCAAGCAGCTCTGGTCTGAAATCAAACATTCTTGTGTTACCAAAATGCTCTCGCATGTCAGTGATAATTGACTGGACGCTGTCATTATAATCGTATAAACAGAGTCCCATATTATCCTCACCTTAACTGACTGTTGCATGTCTTAAATGCATCTTAAAGAGCACAAGATACTTTCAGCTGCGACCCTGGTGTGTTTATGCACATGTGCATGTATGCGTGGATGAGTGTTTGTATGATGTTATTCACCTGTTAACACAATCGTTGTAGTCGTAGTGTCGTGATCAATCATTTTATTACCCCTTGCTGAAACATTTTGAAAATTGTGATTTGTATAAGAAGGTGCAGACTGTAAAAGTGTATTGTTATCTGCAGATTTAAATTAAATTATGCTTTGCATTTGCATAGTCTCAGTTTATTTACAGTGTCATGAAAACACATGATGTAACTGCTATCAATTGATGTGAACATTTGGAGTTGCAATATAAGACTATCACCACTAGTCGACGCACTAAAACATGTTATTCTAACCTTGACCCTTAAGAAATCATGCATTTTTATTAAAGGATTTATTGATTTGCTACCGTTACACTAAAGTATAATATAGAAACAACAGATTATAGGGATTTATATATTTGCAAAACTTAGTACACATTTTAGGAAGCCTATAAAGGTATTCATAAATGTCTGATAGTGCTTTTCATAAACAACTGCAACTTCCCTTTTGGACACATAGGCTATCTTTACTATAATGACAATTAAGACTATAATGCATGTTCGTTTTTGATAATGTTTGTTTATTTTAAACAGCTAAATAATAACGTATTATAAACAATTAGCATACGGTTTATTAACATGCATTGAAAATACCTTTAGATTTTATTGTATACATGCAGAACGTGTTGCCCAATGCCCAATATTTCCCTGTTGTTCTGCTATTTAACCAAACTTGAGCCCATTTCGAAATGTTTTAAATGACGCAATATGTTTATGCCGTTTCAATCGAATAAATAATCAAGCACACGTCGTCAGTCCAACATGACATGTCCTGTTATTGGAAGCAATTTACCTCCTTGGCTCCACTGAGTTTCTGCTGAGGGGAGGCGTTGCTGCTCGCGCGGGATTTTCAGCACGCACGGGCAGTTCGAAACTGGCACGGAGCGACGCGGGACGGGACTCCGGGGAACCGTCCGTCACTCACTAAGTGTAACAGCACAACGGGAACGCACTCTACCTCTCAGCTTCCATCAGACGCTGCGAAAACAAACACAGAATTATGGAGTTTGGAAGAGGATAGATGACCAATCTCACTCTATGGTGTTGTTTACTGTAAGGACTTGGAATGCCTCGCTGCCTCTTTTTGTGAAGGACAGGTCTCAACCGAGGACTTCCTCGCAGGACTGCGTGAATTTTTGTCCATAGACATGTATTCATAGAGTTTATTTTTCAAATACACGCAAGGTGCGATGGCCTCTTCGGCTCAGCCCGAGACACGAAAGTTCACGCGCGGTCTGAGTAAGCCCGGCACCGCGGCTGAGTTACGGCAGAGTGTCTCCGAGGTGGTGCGCACTTCTGTACTGGTGGTGAGTATGTGCATCCTTAAAGTTTGCGTTGGATCCAACTAAGTCCCACTTTTATGGTCTTAGTGACTTTCTATTTCAGCGACTGTCATTTTTTTAATAATGACCTAAATATGAAATATAGGACAGGACTATTAACGTGCTAAGTTGGGAGTTTCTAACCGAAAGGTAAAAACAGGGCATCAGATAAATGCCAATGCATGTAAAACTGCTCAAAAGAGATATTATAGGTAAACTTAGATTGGGTACCTGCCACCTGCCAAGTCTCCATCATTGCTCCATCATTCATCTTTTTCAGCCATGGCTACCTCTTTGAAATGAATAGTTTTGCACCAGTGTCTTGTCAGTTAATTGTGATTGTATTGAACTGGGGGAAAATGAAGCTTGTGGAAGCGTTCAGCTGGGCAGAGCTGAAATGATTCTAGCAGTCTTGCTTAACATTTGAAATATCACCTGCATTACTTCATCTTTCCGAACAGAAGGAGTCTCAGACTGTATCTTCATTCTTTACCTGTTATGCAAAAAAGGAAAGTTCCATCTGGAACTAATAAGCACAGCTAAGATCCTTAAGAGCTGTCTGATTCCACCATAATTCAGATGTTGCCTTACCAAAGTAACACTTGAATACACATGAAAGTGGAGAACTGAAGTTTCATTTTGTGCAAAACAGTATTTTGTGCCAGGAACACCATTTAAAGATCAAGGAATTTCATGCTCTCACCCAAAAATTCTCAAAATTGTTTAATCATTTGCTCTCATATTATCCTAAACTCATTTTTCTTACTTTCTTCCATGGAGTTTTGGTGAATGTTGCTGTTTCTTCTTTCCATAAAATAAAACGGCGGATGGAAAAGCTTCAAAAGTATTACATTTTAACATACAGGACCAATCAAAGGTTTGGGGTCATTAATGTGTTGTTTTTTTATTAAATAAATGAATACTTTTATTCAGTGAAAAAAAATAATGTCTCTGTTACCATACACAAATGTGTGCGGAGAGGACCCACTACCACATCACACACTTCTTGAAGTGACACCCTTGATAACAAGGTCTTGGAGGCCACCATACTCCTAGTTGAGTGTGCTCTACTGGCCAGAGGTGAGGAAAGGCCACGCGCCTCATAAGCCAAAGAAATTGCCTCAACTATCCACTTGCTTATCCTTTGTATAAGACTCTGGGGAACGCCTGGGTGAACCGAAGCATACCAACAGCTGGTCAGTTTCACGCCACTGGGCAGCTCTTTGGATGTAACAATTTAGAACTCTGACCGGACATATCAAGTTTGATCTTTCCTGGTCCAACGTCCGAAAGGGTGGTGGACAGAAGGCCTGTAAAACTATAGAGCATGCCACATTGGTCGGCACCTTAGGCACATAACCCCTTCTAGGGCGAAGAAAGGCTTTAATCGTCATATGGTCTTTGATGGCCATTTGATGTTTCCTCATCATTGTTCCCTTCTTCATCTCAATTGGATGAGATTTTGTGACTTTTATTACATTATCTATCTGAACACACACACACACACAAAAAAACTGGGCTTGATTCGGTTGTTCTGAAGGTATGTTAAAAAAAACTCACACTCATAGTCTTTGGGGTCCGAACGGACTTTCGAAGACTAGTTAATAAGTTAGATGGACTACATTTTTGATACTTTTATAGTAGTTTTTGTCAATTTTAGACCTTGACAGCTCAGTTTCTATTCACTTTCATTGTAAGATAGCATCCTGAATTGGTCAGGATATCTTTGCACATGTTCCACAGTATAAATAAGTAAAATACAGGTTTGGAACGACATGAGGATGACATGAAATAATGACATAATTTTCATTTTTTGATGATGAACTATTGGTTTGAAGTGATGCTGAATTGTTTTTAGTTTTAGTGGTTGTACTTGGCCTCTTCACTTTCACACACTCAAATGTTGTGTTATGCTAGCCTGGTTAAAACCAGACCATTCTCAGTTGTAACTGAGTTATGGTCTGGCAAAGCGTCATAGACAAATCATTTCCAGAGGGGCGTCACCAACGGACGTCGCGGATAGACCTAAAACCAATCAGATGAAGGAGATGACGTATGCAGAGCGGTGGAGAAACATCTCAGAGTGTTGTTCTTTGCTCGATTTTTAACAAAAAGGAAACGTTCAAATCGCTTAAAACAGACGCGATAGCTAATTCGAACGAGTGATGTTCGACGGCGGCATCCATCTTTGTAATGCAGGCTACAAAATCTGCTTCAAAATCCCAGCGCTGTCGTCATCGTGTAAAGCCCGCCCCAACGTTTCTGATTGGTGCCTCGATTTCGACGGATTGGAAATGGGCTTGAATGAGCTCTTTGCCAGACTTACGGTACTTTAAGAGCAAATCTAAATTTGCCGGAAGTTATCTGGGTTTTCCCAGGCTAGCGTAATTTGATAAGAAATTGTGAAGGTAATACAAAGATTGCAGGTTCAATCCCATATATAAGAGTAAACATGAAAGTTGTTACTAATCTGTCACCAGTATGGCCATTAGCAGGGCATAAAACTCAATGGGAACACCAGAGGAACTCTCTCTTCATTTGGTGAACTCCAATTCACAGAGCTAAATCGGAAGTCACTACATTAAAATGCTGTTACGTCCACTTCCGCAGTAAATAAATTCTCTGTGTAGCCATGTCCTGCTACTGGAAGGCACAGTGACAGTTCCCTAGATTTGTGGGTCGACCCACAAGGTTTTGAATCAGACCAGGGGGTTTTCTGTCCAGCTTGTGTTACCATGGTTTTTCACGGTTCAAGGATTAGACTTTGGATTTGCCCTTTTGACATCAATTAAGTTTGGCTTTGTGACTTAGTGCTGTACATTTTAATGACATCTTTGATTATCATCCATGTCGAAAGAGGAAAAAAACAGATGGTTTAACTGTATGACACACACACAGTTACTCAGTTAAGTGTGTTTGTAGTAATGGCTGGTAAACAGGAATGTCGTGGTCACTAATGGAACTTTGGGGTCAATGCCTCCTATATTAATTTTCACATACTTCAGCTCTCAATCAAAAGAACATAATTAATGGCATATTTTTCCTATTTTTCTCTTTCCGGTGTCTCTCCCCAGCTAACACGGAATGCTTTTAGAGCTTTAGCTAACATTTTGGCAAAATAACACAATGAAGAAACCTTGAGTAGTTCAAAAGTTTGGGGTCGGTAACGTTTTTAAAAACGTTTCTGTACAGTAAAAACAGTAATATTGTGAAATATTACTTACATTTTAAATAACTGTTTAATATTTTAATATAGATTTTTAAATGTAATTAAATGTATTCCTATGATGGCAATGTTGAATTACTCCAGTCCTTCAGTGTGACTGTCACGAATTGCGTGGAAGCAAAAGCGGTAGTCGGATCTAAATGCAGCAGTAGACTTTAATAATACAGACTTGGGTATACTCGGAACAGACAAGACACAAGACAGTCGTCGTACGTAAATGCAAACAATAACTGACCAAGACAGGGCAGAAACACAGGGCTTAAATAATCAGAGACAAACGAGCAGACAGGATAACAAGGGGCGTGTATAACAAGAAACACCTGGGAAAACTAATGACAAGACAGGGAACCACTAAACATGACAGGACACAAAACCACATCGTGACAGTGACATGATCCATCAGAAATCATTCTAATATGATAATTTTGGTGTTCAAGAAATATTTCTCATGATTATGAATGTTTAAAACAGTTGCTGCTTAATATTTTTTGTGAAACTGTGATACAGGTTTCTTTTCAGGATTCTTTGATCCTGATCCTGAACAGTATTTATTTGAAATAGTAATTTTTTGTAACTGTC